GGAGGAGAGGGGAGGAGAGGGAGGAGGAGAGCACTCACGAGGCCTGCGACGCCCGAGGCAGAAGCCGCCTGCCCCATCGCCGCGCGCGTGCGCTCCCTGGGGCCGCGAATTCCTCGCAGGTTGCTCCCGGATTCGCGCTCGCAGCACAGCTGCACTGAAGGGGCCCTGGGACACACAAATGAATACACACACAAATACAAAGATCCCCCCACATCTTCCCATATTTTCTGGGTTTTTTGTCTTCCCCCCCACGTCCCATAGTTTCCCATCTTTTCCTGGGAATTGACGATTCATTCTGTCTGTGCTTTTTTCCCTCCTGATACACGTCGCTCATTTCCAATCGTGCTCACTCCTGATTGTGATCGTTTCCGATGGTTCCTGGCCCCCTGGTGGCCAGGAGGAGGCCCAGGATAGGACAACTGGAAATGAAAGGATGTTGGCCCCCAAAAAAATCAGAGAACTGTCGAAGAATAAGAAATGAACTATGTGTAGCCCTTGTGAACTCTTTCAGGCTTGCGCTCCGCAAACCACAATCCTGGGCAAGTTACACTCCAGACTTGCGCTCCCCAAGCCACGATCCCGAGGGAATTACACCAGATTCGCGCTCCCGAGGCTACAACCCTTCGTAAATGACGACGGGTTTGTGCCTTCGAAGCCACAATCCTTTGTACATTGATACGCCTTGGCGCCCCCGAAGCCGCAAACACACCCCACGGAGGCTGCCCAGAAGCGCCAACTCCATCCAGAGCAAGAAAGTCGCCATTTCCTGGATTGGGACACGGGTCCGGGGGGCGCTTCTTGGCGCCCCCCCCCCCCGTCGCTTCCTGCGAGCTCGGCATGGAGCTCGAAGCCACGAGTCCTCGTCAATGGCTATGAGCCCGCTCGCTCCCGCAGCCTCGAGCCCGCGCAGCAGATGCATGACAGCAGCGCGCCGCCGAGGCCCACGTCCCTCCGAAGCTGCCACCGACGCGCGCCGCCGCCCGGCCCAGCAAACACACAGCCCAGAGCAGCTGCCGGACAGCACGCCAATCGGCCGAGCCGCCAGCCAGCCAGCTGGGCAGACCTACGAAGCGGGCCTCTTGCGCGAGGTGGCTCACGGCGACCTTCACGCGGCGGCTCACTCGAGCTTACGCGCGGGGCACGCTGCGGCGGAGACGAGAGCGCTGGCGCGCGACCCCGCGTTGGCAGCCTGCGCGCCAATGGTCGCCGCGGCGGGGGAAAAAAAAGTCTGCCTGCGTCGCGCGACTGGCACAAAAACCAACACAGGTACCGACCGAGCGTGGCCGTGCCAGCGACCTGGTGGGGGGGGGGGGGGGCAGCGGCAGAGGACGAAGCCGCATCAGACGCACGGACGCCGGCGGGAGGCCCCCTACGCGACGACCACGACGACGACGACGACGACGACGACGACGACGACGACGACGACGACGACGACGACAACGGCGACGCTGACGACGGCGACGGTGACGGCGACGTCGACGGCGACGGCGACGGCGACGGCGACGGCGACGGCGACGTTGACGACGACGACGACGACGACGACAACGAGGAGGACGAGGTATTCGTTCGCCAGGCAGGCCGCGGAGAGCCCTGCCTCCAAACCTGAAGCCCCCCCGAAGCTCGAGTTCCCCGGAAGCCTCGACAGAATGAGGGGAGGAGGGCGCAAAGGAGCGGGGAAGATCACCGTGAAGGAAGGGAGGGAGGCGCAGGGTGGCGAAAGGAAGAAGAGCGAGCTGATGGAGGGCCACTGCGGAGACCCGCCGTCGCCTTGACCGAACATGGCAGTGCCACAACGCAGCCAAGCCTGCGGCCTACGACCCTCCAAGCGGAAAAACGGGGGGGCGCAAGACGGGAGGAGCGATTGGAAAGGGGAGGGGGGAGGGAGGAGGGAGGGGACGAAAACCTTTTTTTTCCTCCTCCTCCTCCTCCCCTCCTCCTCTCCCTCATCATCATCATCATCCTCCACCTCCTCACTCCTTTCCCACATCCTCACCCACCACTTGCTCCTCCTCACTCCTCCACCTCCTCCCCTTCCACCTCCTCCTCCTCCTCCTCCTCCTGCCCTCCTAGCTCCGAAGAGGAGGACCGTCCCACCTACTCCTCCCCCTCCCCCCTCCTCCTCCTCCTTTTCCTCCCCCTCCTCCTCACCCGCCACCTCCACGATCCCGTCCCCCTTCCTCCTCCTCCTCCTCCTCCTCCCTCCTCCTCCTCCTCTCCTCCCCTCCTCCTCACTCTTTCCTCTCCTCTTCTCTTCTCTCTCCTCCCACCCCTCCCACCACACCCCCTCAGTCCTCCTCCTCCTCCTCCTCCTCCTCCCTCCTCCTCCTCTTCCTCCTCCTCCTCCTCCTGCCTCTTTTTCCTCCTTCCTCCACCTCCTCCGTCCTCCTCCTCCTCCTACTACCTGTTCCTCCTCCTCCTCCTCATCTTTTCCTCCTACCTCCGCCTCCTCCCTTTCCTCCTCCTCCTCCTCTTCCTTTTTCTCCTCCTCCTCCTCGCTCCTCCTCCTCCTCCTTTCCTTCCTCCTCCTCCTCCTCCTTTGCCTCCTCCCCTCCTCCTCCTCCCTCACCCTCCCTCCTCTTCCTTCCTCCTCCTCCAAACTTTCATCCTCGCTCCTCCTCCTCCGCTCCTCCCCCTCCTCGTCCACGCACCTCCTCCTCCTCCTCCTCCTCCTCCTCCTTCCTCTTCCACCTCCCTTCCTCGTCCTCCTCCACGTCCTCCTCCTTCCTCCTCCTCCTCCTCCTCCTCCTCCTCCTCCTCCTCCTCGTCCACGTCCAAACCTGCAGCGTGAAATCCCAGAATCGGGCACGCCAAAACCAACAACTAAACGGATTCGTCTGGCTCAGGCCAAGACTTGAACCCAGGGGGGAGCTTACCTGCAGCGAGGGCGCACAGGACCCTCCTCCCCCAGGTACCAATCTGATCAGGTCGGCACGGTCTGCCGAGCTTCACAAACTTCCCCTCTCGTGCCCGTCGCCCCGCACAGCTGACACCAGAAAACCCCCTGGCAGAACTCCACCTTGTGGGAGAAGTCGAGGCCAGCAGGGACATGGGCACAAGGGGAGGCTAGCCACTCATTCACCCTGTGGTCAAAAGTGGGCCGAGTGAGACACATCAAGCACTTGATGCCCTTAGTGTCATACCCGATCCTATGGGTCGTGGCAGCCTTAGCTTCCTCAACCCTCAAGGCCCGATCCTTCCCCCGAAGCTTAGCCTCGGCGGCGCGAGCGGCTTTAGAGCTGGGCCCATACAGCTCTGGGTCACGAGATGCGACATGCAGTGCAACAGCGATTAAATGCTTCTGCACTCTCAAAGTCAGCTCGTCGACCCGAATGACCTCATTAACAGCACTGTCGGGTAGTTGGCACTTCTGCGCTCCACATTCAGCTGCCTTGTCGGCAGCTCCGTTGGCCAGCCATAGCCCCACGGGTGGTCCATCCACTCTCTCAGGGGCCGGCCTCGTGTGGCTCTTAACTTTATGCAACACAATGGAACGGCCCTGGGCTGCTTCCCAAAACCTCCTCCAAGCAAACACATTAACACTGTGGGTGAAATTGGGTCCTTTCTTGAACCCCGAGATCGTAACAGCCGAGACCACAGCAACCTCCATGCTTCCAGTGGTGCACTTAAGGGCTTGGATGATGGCCTCGAGCTCGGCGAGGGGCACCGACTGCTTAAACCCTGGGAGTGATCCATACCCCCAACCTACCTGTCGGTCTGCCCCCCGAATTATGGAAAACCCCCACCCACACCTTCTAAGCCTGGGCTCAGCCGAGTACGGTCCCCCCGGCCCGTCCGTCCCAACCACCACATCCCCCTCCTCCAGATCAATCGGCCCTAGGCTGAGGCTGGGGGAGAAAACTGGCTCATACGAGGTGTCGACGAGCGTCGGCCCAGACGTCCACCTCAAAGGGGGCAGCCCCCTCAACCAGAAACACGGCACTTCTTCCCATTCTAGCTCAGCCTGGGGAAGCAGGTCGAGCGCCACCCCCTCGATTTCCGAATTGTCGGGGCAGCTCCACATCTGATGGAAAAGAGTCTCCGACTCCGCCCCGCACCTAGGACACGATGGAAGACGGCGAGGCATGCCTGGGGCAGGCGAAGGAGGCTCGGCCTCCTCCAGCCCGATCTGATCTTCCCAGGCCTGCTGCTCCAGCAGGTCATCGAGACCGAAAACGTCGTCCTCCTCGTCCAAACCTGCGGCAACGGGCCGCCCCTCCTCGGGGCGCGGGTCGGGGCCAGCCTGCTCCTCGGGCGCTGGGTCGGGCCGAGGACCGCCGTCGCCGCCGCCACCATCGCCGCCGTGGGGAAGGAAAAGAGGAGGATGGAGGCTCCCTTCCCCAAAACGCCTGGCGGCTGGCCACAACCCCCCGTGAGCACCATCTTCAGGACGGCCGCCTGATCGTGCTGCCGCCTTCCCTACAATCGCTTCAAGTGGCGATAGGCAACCGTGAAATCTGCACTGTGCTCCAACCCCCGACCGTGGTAGTGCTGAGCCGTTTTGGCCCACACCTGGCCTTCAAGGGAGCCTCGGAGATCAAAATCAAGGAGCCTCTCAGGATCACAGGTTCTCAAATCGAAAGTGGCTCCGTCGGATCTGTCTATCCAAAGCCAGGGCTCAGGAGCATCCCAACTAATGTCCTGTAGGCAAACGATCATTGCCGTGAGGGGCCCTCGAACATAGCTCCACCTTTTTTACATTGAGCAATTGCTTCCAAGCCTTTTACCACGCAAGCTGGACAGGTCGCTCGCTAGAGCGCAGTGCACAGGGCAGGAGCTCGTACCACGACCTAAAAACCTTCAGGCGACCAAACAACAAAGGGTCGTGATCGGCCCCCATCATTAAGTAGAGCGCCGTGGTCGAGCAGCCTCCCTCAAAACGGGCACCTGATAGCGCCGCCACCTGCGCTCGGACTCGCAACAGCGTCGACGGGGCAAGGCCAATATTCTCCAGCCCCCCCTCCTCCTCCTCCTCCTCCTCCGCCTCCTCCACCTCCTCCTCCTCCTCCTCCTCCTCCTCCTCCTCCTCTTCCTCCTTCTCCTCCTCCTCCTCCTCCTCCTCCTCCGCCTCCTCCTCCTCCTCCTCTTCCTCCTCCTCCTCCTCCTCCTCCTCTTCCTCCTCCTCCTGCAAGCACAAACAAGGTCTATCCGAAACGCAGACACGCGTGCCCCCTTTGTGCTTCGCCGAGACCGCGACCGCAAAGTAGACCACCTTCCACGACCTGCGCCGCCCGGTCGGCCAACCGGCGAGCTCGGCCACTAGCGCGGCGTGGGCTGCGAGCTCCCGGTCCTGGCCGAGCGAGCTGCGCAGCTGCCGCGCGGTGGCGCGACGGAGCGCGCAGCTCAGCTCCGCGCCCCGGCGGCGGGCCAGCGCGCTCGCGGCTGCCGCGGGCGCAGACCCGTCCCCCAGCGCCTGGGCGCGGTCACGCGCAAGCCAGCGCAGGTGCCACAGCGCGGCCCTGCCCAGCTGGCTGGTTGTTTCGCGGGCCAGCGGGGAGACCGACCAGGGCGCCCGGCGCTCGGGGTAGCGCCAGAGCTCGTCCGCCTCTCCCTAGGCGCCTTTGCCGTCCGTCCGCGGCCCTGGCAAGAGCGCGCGTGCGCCCACCGGAACGCTGCGGACAACGACGCCCGCCAGCCTCCAGGGGCAGTCGCCGCGCTGAGCCTCGCGGTCAAGGAGCGCCATCTGGCGTTCGACCATCAGCGGCCCCCGCAGGCGCTGCAAGGGTCCGCCCAGCGGGGGGTCGGCGTCGCGCCAGCCAGAGCGAGCCCGCCGCGCGCGGCCCGCTCGCGAGCGCGGCAGCCAGCCGCGGCGCAGCGCCGGAGCCAGCGATCCCAGGCCAGGACCGGGACCAGTCGGACAGTGCGCAAGCCGCAATCATGGTGGATGAGGTCTCACATGTCCTCGACGCCCCTGCTGCGAACCTTGGCGCCGTTCCCGCAGGCGCAGCGGAATGCGCGCAACGCCTTGCAGCCAAGCGGCTAGCCGCAGGCTGTCCCTCCCGCTCGCCGGCGCGAAGGCGGTTGCAGCAGCGGCTGCCCGCGGGCGCGCAGTCCTGGCCCAAGAGCGCCTGGGCGGTCGCGCGGTAGTACGCGTCGTCCAGCCGCTGGCCCGGCCCGCCTTTCGCCAGCTGCCAGGCCCCCACGTGCGGCCCCGGCAAGAGCGGAGCTGCGCCCGTCCCGTAGCGTCCAGGGAGCTCAGCAAGGCTGTGTAGTTTCTGAGTCAAGCCTGTGCGTGGGTCTCCTCTGGATTTTTGTCCTGAGGTTCTCGGGCGAGCTGCCGCGAGGGGAGCATCGGCCCCTCCTACAGGGCTGGCAGCGGCCCAGCCACGCCCCACGGGCCCAGCAGCAGCCCGGTCAGCGCCTCTGGGCAGGCTGCAGCGGGGGGCAGGCTGGAGGTCTCCAGGTCAGCGAGCTCCGCCAAACCTGTGCGCTCTCGCACGCCCGCGAGGCTCTGTACGGAGAGCTCCTCAAGCCTCGGCCGCCGAGCCAGAGCAGCAGGCGGCAGTCCGCTCCCGAGTGCATCGTCGGCTTCGCCGCCCACAACGGGGCGCCCGCAGTCGTGAAGGGCTGCCCCGCGGCGTTCGGGCTCTGCTCGAAACGCTGGTGGTGGCTCTGGGGCCGTCTCGTCTGGGGCTCGCGGGGTGTCTCGGACAGTCTCTGGGCCTTCCTGGGCGTTCCGTCCCCGCGGGGGCGGGCCAGTTCTTGACCACGACCCCATTCCCGCTCCTTCCTCTCCTCTCTTCCGCCCTGCTGCCCCTCCTCTCTCTCTCTCTCTCTTTCTCTGTTTTCTTTGTTTGCTCGTTTGGTGTTAAATGTTTATGTAATTATCTCTCTCTCTACCTCTACCTCTGTCTCTCTCTCTCTCTCTCTCTCTCTCCTGGAGTCGTGGGTGGATGTTGCGCCTGGGGTCCCCTGGGGTCTCTGGCTTCCCCTTCGTGCCGCGGGGTCGGCGCGAAGAGAGGGGGGCAGCTAAGAGGTGTTGCTTGTTTTAGTCCTGGTGCGGTTGGGAGGCTTCACTCCTGCATGCTGCGAACCCGCTACCTTCTCCTGCTCCTCCGCCTCCTACTCCTCCTCCTTCCCCCACCCAACCCCCTCATCCTCCAACCCTCCCCTACCTCCCCCACCTCCCCCTTCCCCCCCTCCTCCTCCAACCTCCTCCTCCTCCTCCTCCTCCTCCACCTTCCTCCTCCTCCCCTCCTCCCTCCTCCTCCTCCCTTTCTCCCTCCTCCTCCTCCTGCCTCCGCCTCCTTCTCGCTCCTCCCTCCCTCGCCATCCCGCCCATCCTCCTCCACCCCGCCTCCTCACTCCGCCTCGCACCGCCTCGCCTCCTCCTACCTCCTACCTCTCCTCCTCCTCCTCCGCCTCCCTCCTCCTCCTCCCCCCTCCACCCCGCCTCCTCCCGCCCTCTCCCTCCTCCTCCGCCTCCTCCTTCTCCTCCTCCGCCTCCCCCTCCTCCTCCTCCGCCTCCTCCTCCCCCTCCTTCTCCTCCACAAGAGGCCGTCCACAAGAGACCAAACGCTGAGACCCCAGGGCGTCCATTGGTTTCTGGCGTGGGAACGTCACTCTCTCCATCGCAGAACATTGGAAACCCAAAGAAACCAAGGGCACCCTTGAGGCAAGCAGGGTGTTCCTTGGCATGGGTCTCCACTGTAATTCTGTATGCAGGTTGTTGTGGGAATTTCGCTAGACTCCCAGGGGCCCATTTCAGACTAGGTAAATTGCCGAGTCCATGGTTGGGTAATGTCAACTCGTTTCGCGACAGATCCATCCGTTCTATTACATTCCATCACATTCAGTGTCACTCCATTCATCCTATGCTCCTCCCCTTCCGTCATCGGCCACGCGTGTCCCCAGCTCACACGACTCTCGGGGGATGGGGGCGACGCCACCAGGAGCAAAATCGCGAAATGAGATCGGAAGTCGGAGCAAGAAGCGAGGAGAGAAAGGGGGAGGAACTACCGAAGGGAGGGCAGGACGGATACCGAGACCCAAGCACCGCTGCCTCCGATTTCGTGGGAAGCAAGAAAAAGAGGAGGACACGTACCTCCGACGCACCCCGTTCTTGTCAATTCGTGGAGTTCTGGAACTCTGGGCCCCATCGGCTGTGGATTCGTCGCCGCGGGCCGCACTTGACGAGCCCAAGGGGGGAGGCCCAACTCCAAACAAAAGCACAGGTCCTGATGCTCACGGGGCGATGGAAGCCTGGGCGCGCAGCCTCGCACAGAGAGCAGAGAGCAGGACAGGACTGGCGAGGGGGGGAGGCCTGCTTCCGTCGGTCGAAGAGGCGGCCCTCCTTCTTGCAGAGCTCGATCCGCACGCCCAACCCCTCCCGAGGGGGCAGGGGGCCGGGGCACTCCTCGGGAGGGGACGGAGTTCGGGTCAGGCCGGGCAGCTGGAGGTGCACAGCACTCGTCACACCGGCCGTGCCACGAAGCGACCTCTGAGCGTCGCCTCCGCAGCAGGTCGCTCTCGCTGTGGAGGCCGCTGCCGAGACCGAAGGGCCCCATCGAGCGGTGCTCGCGATGCCCCTCCGAGGCGATGCGCCGATCAGGCGCGCGAGCTCGGGAAAAGGAGGAGGAGGAGGAGGCGGAGGAGGAGGAGGAGGAGGAGGAGGGGGAGGGTAGCATGGAGGGGGGAGTAAGGAGGAGGGGGGAGAGGAGGAGGAGGAGGGAGGAGGAGGAGTAGGAGGAGGAGAGGAGGAGGTGAGTGAAGGATGAGAGGAGAGAGGAGGAGGAGGTGGAAGAAGGGGAGGAGGAGGAGAGGAAGGAGAGTGAGGAGGAGGAGATAGGAAAGGCGTAAGGTAGGAGGAGGGAAGACTGACCAGAGTTCATAACACGAGGACGGCGGAGCGAGCCGCCGTTCCTCTGGCCGGCGTGCGTGCCCGTTCTCCTCTGTCGCTCCTCCGCCGCCGCCCCCGTCATGCCCCCGGGATAACCAGTCGGGTCCCCCTCGGGACTTCCTCCTCCTCTCCTCCTCCTCCTCCTCCACCTCCTCCTCCTTTCCCTCCCTCCTCCTCCCCTCCTCCACCTCCTCCTCCTCTCCTCCCCTCCTCATGAGATCCCTGCGCGGCTCTGGAGACGCGTCGAGGGCCAGAATGGCGTCATTGAGCGCCCTCCATGAAGCGCCCCGAGAGCGTTCCGCGGGACGCCCTGGCACGACGGCTCTGGGGCGATTCTCGGGCGCAGCCCCGCCCGAGAAGCACCGAATAGAGGCCTCCTAGATGGGGCCGGAATAGATGGGGTCGGAGGATCGCGCCGCGTCGCCGATACATCGGCGATGCATCGGCGATGCATCGGCGATGCATCAGCGATACACCGGCGATGCATCGTCGACGTTGGCGATGCATCGGCGACGTCGGCGTGGAGAGAATTGGGCCCCACATCGAGCCGCATCGGCGATGCATCGGCGATGCGGGGCGATCCTCCGACCCCATCTACTCCGACCCCATCTGGGAGGCCTGGAACCGAAAAGCTTCCATCCATGGAGACGTCAAAATCGGGTCCGGGGGACACGTCGTTCAGTTCTAATCGTGCTCCTTTCAATTTGTGCTCGTTTCCAATTGCTCATGGCCCCCTATAGTGGCCAGGAAGAGGCCCAGGATAGAACAATTGGAAACGAAAGGATCTTGGGCCCCAAAAAAAATCAGGAACTTTCGAAGAATTAGAAGTGAACAATGAGTACTCGGGTGGACCTGATGGGGCCGTCATGAACATGAGGAGGCCCAGCCTGAAATCTGGCGCGAGCTTCCGCTGCAGAAATCCCACGAAAACTGGACCGCCAAAATTCAAGCCGGGCCCGTCAGCAAACGTGGGCAGGCACGAGTGCTGGCGAAGTCAAGCCTTACGTTTCCCCGATCATGGCTCCTACATCGTTGGAAACTTTTCTTTGAGGGTCCGGCGATAACCCGGGTTATCGGGCTTGCCCCTCCTCCCCCTCCCACCCAGGACAACCTAACCTTGCCGGTTGTGCAGGTCCGGGGGGGGGGGCGCGGGCGTATGCAGGGCTGCCCACAGCGCGAAGGTCAGGCTACCGGCCGGCCCCCTCCTCCCCCCCCCCACAGAGAACCCTGGGTTATCGCCGATTCAAAAGAAACGGTCTCCTGCTGTCGTCCAGCTCCGCGCCCCCTCTCCTCTTCGTCTCCCTTTCCGGACAGCCGAGGGAGAAGGGAAAAGAACTCTCCTCCATTCGACCCCCCTCCTCGGGGACCTCAGCTATCCCACGATCAGACAAGTAACAGCATGCACCGCGAACTCCCAATATGTCTGATTGCTTGAAACATGTATGAATGGCAGGCGCAGATGGGGAAACGAGCGTGCTTGAATAGATGGCGGAGGGGTAGCGCGCCAAGGGGCAACGGAAGAGAGGCAAAGCCATTGAATCTCCAACATCTCTGGACACTTGACGACCTCTGTGCCCCGATTCTTCAGGTCGAGCTCATTTCCAGAAGATACAATCCTCGACTCGCCAAAGTCAGTGATAGCGATACCTGGCACTCCAGACTCTACAGAAGAACGATCACCGCTGTCATTACGAGATCCAGTCAGATCCACCATAACATTGTCACATTTCAAGTCGTAGTGGATGATGCCATACCTGTGGAGTGTTTGCAGGGCTACTAGAATATTCTTATAGACCATCAACAGCAAGTCTAAGTTGCCACCAAATTCACCCGACAGGGACTCCCGCCACTTCTTTAATGTCGTGGAGTAGTGCTGCATGACAATCCAATAGCCTGTCTCGTCCACCCCATAGTCAAGCATGCGACAGACGTGCTTCTCTGACCTAATCTTGTCGAGGCATGCAATTTCGCTGAAGACGTCGTGGAAGACACATCGGTCCACCACGTTGCTCTGCCTGGGAATCTGCTTCACCGCGACATTCCCAAACCCACCGAGATGCACTGAGCACTTGTACACTGTACCGAAAGCGCCTCCGCCGATGCGGGTCCACCCAGTATACATCCAGCGGTGCATCGTTGTGTCGCACAGCATCTTTACCAGCCTGCCGCCTCCTATGTGGCCGATGTCCTCGACCTGGCGGAAAAGCCAAGGGAGCACAGCCCTGTTGGCGCTGTGATTCAGGTGCGAGCTCAGCAGGAACGGGATGTTGCGCTTGTGCCTCTCCAGCGGGTACTGGTCGCAGTAGCGCGGGTCCAGAAGCCCGAACCTCGGAGTCACCAGGAGAGCCAACGTGAGCGTCAGCATGAGGGCGTGCAGCTCCAGGTCCTCGTACAGGCGACGGCACCGCCTCCCCTCGAAGTAGAAGAGGTTCTCGCTCACCGCTCCCGCGCAGGACAGGTCCTCCGCAGACATCCGGCGGCTCCAACTTTCTCCATGCAAGGGCCCCGGAGGTCCGGACCACTTCTCTGGGATCACGTCATGACAAAAGCACGACGTCGGGGGGTCTGAGAAAGGGGGGGCAGCAAGGGCTGCCGAAAAGCTGCCCTCTGGGGCCCCCGAGAGGGCACTGCAGGGCCCAGAAGGGGCCCTTGGAGGTCCGAAGTCCTTGAGGTCTGACGCTTCGAGACAGTTGAAAGAAAACCGAGGAAAATCACGACCGGAGCCCCAGACCCTGCTTTTCTGCATCACTTTGCGAGCCAGATCGACCTGCGAGGGCTCTGGGGCCTCTCAGGAAAAAGGCGAAGACGCGGGGCTTGACGCAGTGGAGCCGCCAGGATCTCAGGGTTTGTCGCCCCCCCGCGTTCCCAGAAATGCGACGTCCTGAACTCTTCAGGACGGGGCCCCCGGAAGTCCCGACCCTTTCCCCGGGACCGGTCTTTCCTCCCGACTCGTTTTCGGACGCTCTCGAGGCCCAGCGAGGGCCCCCCGAGACCGAAAAGGGCCAAAAACCTGCCGTCCTGATTGTTGTCACGACGCGATCCTGTCTCGGAAGCGTTCTCTCACGGTGCCGAGGCCCGGCGAGGGCCCCCAGAGGCCGAGATCGGCCAAAAGCCGCCCGCTCCAATTTTGGCGTCGAAGCTCTGCCAGGCCTGGCCACTCCAAAAATGTTCAAAAAAACGTCGAAGAATTGTCCCCGTACTATTTTCCCCAACCCTCCTTGGTTGGGCATTCGTTTTGAATAGGGCACTGTGGTCGCGTCCCTCCTCCCGCCTCCCGCCTCCTCTCGCCTCCTCCTGCTCTCTCTTCGCCGTCGCTGGGGGGCGCTGCGATCTGCGAAACTGTCGCCACTTTCGAGGGCTGCTGGTGGGTCCTGCGGAGTGAGGCACAGCGGGGATCTGAGCGGGACCTCGCCGTCCCTGGGGGGCTGCGATCTGCGACACTGTCGCCACTTTCGATGGCTGCTGGTGGGTCCTGCGGAGTGAAGCACCGCGGGGATCTGAGCAGGACCTCGCCGTCCCTGGGGGGCTGCGATCTGCGACACTGTCGCCACTTTCGAGGGCTGCTGGTGGGTCCTGCGGAGGGAGGCACCGCGGGGATCTGAGCGGGACCTCGCCGTCCCTGGGAGGCTGCGGTCTGCGACACTGCTGCCACTTTCGAGGACCGCGGGGATCTGAGCGGGACCTCGCCGTCCCTGGGGGGGCTGCGATCTGCGATCTGCGATCTGCGACACTGTCGCCACTTTCGAGGGCTGCTGGTGGGTAATGCGGAGTGAGGCACCGCGGGGATATGAGCGGGACCTCGCCGTCCCTGGGGGGCTGAGATCTGCGACACTGTCGCCACTTTCGATGGCTGCTGGTGGGTCGTGCGGAGGGAGGCACCGCGGGGATCTGAGCGGGACCTCGCCGTCCCTGGGAGGCTGCGGTCTGCGACACTGTTGCCACTTTCGAGGGCTGCTGGTGGGTCCTGCGGAGTGAGGCACCGCGGGGATCTGAGCGGGACCTCGCCGTCCCTGGGGGGCACGATCTGCGACACTGCCCCGCACTTTCGAAAAGTCTGCTGGGTGGGTCTGCGGAGTGATGCACCGCGGTGATCTGGAGCGGGACCTCGCCGTCCTGGGCGGCATGTTATCTGTCGACAGGACAGGTCGCCACTTTCGAGGGCTGCTGGTGGGTCCTGCGGAGTGAGGCACAGCGGGGATCTAAGCGGGACCTCGGCGTCCCTGGGGGGCTGCGATCTGCGACACTGTCGCCACTTTCGAGGGCTGCTGGTGGGTAATGCGGAGTGAGGCACCGCGGGGATCTGAGCGGGACCTCGCCGTCCCTCGGGGGCTGCGGTCTGCGACACTGTCGCCACTTTCGAAGGCTGCTGGTGGGTCGTGCGGAGGGAGGCACCGCGGGGAGCTGAGCGGGGACCTCGCCGTCCCTGAGGGGCTGAGATCTGCGACACTGTAGCCACTTTCGAGGGCTGCTGGTGGGTCCTGCGGAGTGACCGCGGGGATCTAAGCGGGACCTCGCCGTCCCTGGGGGGGGCTCTGGAGAGCTGCTGCGGGATACGTTACGCGCAACGGGCGCATGGCACAGCCAACGGGGGGGTGATTTGTGCAACAGACCATCTGCCAGCCGATGACCATAACGTTGCGCTTACACGTGTCCCATGGGGGCTCTGGAGAGCTGCTGCGGGATACGTTACGCGCAACGGGCGCATGGCACAGCCAACGGGGGTGATTTGTTATTACGTAGCCCTTAGATCTTGATCTGGGGCCCGCGAGCCTTCGGATTGCTGCTCGCAAAATCACATGCGCCCATGTTACATCATCGCCCCCGTTGTAGCAATCCTGATGTACTTATGCCCCGCATTGCGCAAGGGTTGGGTACGTCGCCAGGGTAATTTACTATTTACGAATTGTCCTCCTGTAGAGGGACATGCCCGACATAACCCTTGGTCAGGAGAGCCCAGAATTAGAGGCTTGGAAATCGACACCAACACCAACACAGGGGGTTGCCTCCACCGGGGGAAGATGATCCTAGAGTTCGGTGTTGGTGGTAATATTTCGGCCGCCTAGGAAGCCAGAATATGACCACCATCACCGAGATCGGGATCCTCTTGCCTCGGTCAAGGCACGCCGCCGATTTTGGTATTGGTGTCAACTTCCAGGCCTCCGACAGAATCGAATCGATAAGTCGGATCGGCGATCGAAATCCATCGGATAGGCGGAAATCGCCAGCCGAATCGGACAAGTTGAATCGGCGGGGATCGGCAGTCTAGGCCTCCTTTGAAAAAACGGAGCCCACATCGGAATCCGAAGTCGTATCGAATCGGCATCGGAAGCCACCGAAATAGAATCGGATGGAACCCAAACATGCGATGTCCTAATGGTTTCAAGACGGGGCCCCGGGAAGTCCCGACCCTTTCACCAGGACCGGTTTTTCCTCCTTAGTCGTTTTTGACGCTCCCGAGGCCCGGCGAGGGCCCCCCGAGGCCGAACTTTGCCAAAAACCGCCCGTCCTGATTTTGTCACGACGCGATCCTGTCTGGGATTAATTCGTGCCCTTCTTTAGAGTCGAGGGTGGACAGAACCCCCTCCCTGACACGTCGATTCGTGCATTGCTCGTTTTCGGTGTTCGAGAGGGCGCCGCGGCCATCATCTTCCAGGCTTGCGCCCGCCAGGTTTGGGCCCGAGGTCGTTTTCACTGAGCCACGTTTTACTACGACGCGATCCTGTCTGGGAATCGGAAGAATCGAGACGAGCCCAGCGGGGTCCTCTGCCAGCGCCGCCCCGCCCGCCGCCCGCCCGCCCGCCGACGAGGGGCACGCGGAGACAGCCGAGGAGAGGCCGCTGTCTCCCCCCACGGCGCTGCTCCCCAGGGAGGAGCAGGCCGGACCAGCCGCCCCAAGCTCCGCGGCCTCTCTCGGGGATAATGTTCCTCCTCCTCCTCCTCCTCCTCCTCCTCCTCCTCCGCCTCCTCCTCCTCCTCCTCCTCC